CAGCCATACATTTGAAGGTTCATAGTAGTAGTAGTAGTAGTATAGTAGCAGTAGCATTCGCAGCAACAGCAGCAGGTTTTCGTTGTCGTCGCCGACTGACTGACTGACTGACCACGGGCTGGCGGACCAACTGAGCGACTGTCCGACTGACTGACTGCATGGCGCTCGGCGAATGGACCAACCGACCGACCGCCCGACTGGCTGACTGACCAGCGTGCTCGTGTACCGACCGACGGACTGACAGACTGACCGGCGTGCTCGTGTACTGTACCGACCGACGGACCGACTGACTGACTGATTGGCGCTCGGCGCACGGCACCGACCGACTGACTGACTGACTGCCCGGCGGTCTCGCGGCTCGACTGACCGACTGACTGGCTGACTGACCGGGCGCTTGAAGCCATTCAAGCGCAAACTTAAAAAAAGGAAAAATTAAAAAACATAAAAATACCCAGAAAGCACCACCACCCGTGTGCATCATGGTGTTTATGAAGGCTAAACCCGAAATACGGCAATCGCAAGGACTGTAATTTGGGATCTCGGCATTCAGCTTGCGCTCGTCGTGCGACCTGACACATTTCTGGCAACTCACGGACGTTCCCATCAAAGCCTATGGTCAGGATACCGAGATTCTTTTCCGGTCCAAATTTCGAGCAGCTATTCCGAGCCACTGTCGAGCCCAACTGAAAGAAATCACTCCTTTACCAGACGTGATTTCTTAAGTGAGCTGTTGCGAGAGGGCGCCGTTAAGTCAAAGACAACACCTCTCTTTGGCAGATTAGTCATGTGCTGCCGCGCCTCTTGTGCTCGCCGGCATTCCAGACGAACTCTTTGAACCTCCTGCTCTGATGTTGCTCTGCTGTGTCTCATCCCGGCATTGACTCCAGCTGCGAAGAAACCCAGAAGACCTTGAACCTGAACTGCTCGCACTGGTAGAGACGGGTCCTGGACAGGGCCTCCTTCGTCAGCCTGTCGCGAATTTTGCCAGCAGTTTCCGAAAGATCGTGTCACCGATCGTGGCTTGTGATGAAATTGTCAGTTAACCAATGTAAACTTGCAGCATCTTGCAGCCAGAAGTGAGATTTGCGGAGTATGCCTCTTGCGAGTCCGTGACTTACCGTACCGAGCATATATTCACGTCGGCATGACCGGACCCAAAACTCGTGGTGATCACATAAGTACTGCAGTTGAAAGGTCTGCTGGCTTCGCCTTGCTGCGCCCAGAGTCGCCGTCACCGTCCTGAAGCAGGCCGAAAGCATTCAGGGTTCTAGGGCCAGAATTCTGCTGGACGGGTCTGGAAGGAACTGGTGGCAGAGCTGCAGTGCGAGGCGGGGGCGGGGTGTTGTGTTGAAACTCAACGACTCCGGTTGACTGCAGCTCCGGCGAAAGTTCGCTCGCCAACTGCGAGGTGTACAAAGCCAAGGGGCAGATCTCATTGCATCTGGGTTCGGCACCTGGGTTGTCAGTACAAGTAATAGGCGAAGGTGGTGAGCAGGGAGCTTCGGTTCATCTGACGTGGCACACGGCCACGCGTGACCTGTTGTCCACTCTTGATCTGTTGCGCCGATACCCCAACACTGCACTCAAAAAGAAGTAGAAGAGCTTGTGCGTTCCTGGGCCGAAAAACCGAAATATTGGCTCCTTGAATTTCCGAGGCCCGAAATCCTGGACCGCACACTACTTACCCGGAATGTATCAGCATGGCCTCAGCATTTGACCCCCTCCCGGCTCTCCACAGGGCCAGATCGAGCCAGGCACCAGGTGAACGCGTTTCCGCCTCTTGCGGCAGGGCGGATCCTCGGGCTGACGCCTCAGCAGGAAAGCCCTGCAGCACCGAAAACTTTAGAAACGTCTCTTGACCGTGCTCAGTTCGCCTCAGATCTGGAATGGCAAACCGTGAGTCTGAAGGCCTGCGTGAAAGCGAAGGCCGTGGTGCCAGTGCCTCCCTCTCGGGAGGGTTCTTTGGAGCCTGGACACCAGTCTCGCAATCGGCACCGTCTGGCACAAGGGCTTGCTACTCAGGATGTAAACTGTATTCCACCTTCTTGGCTTTCGCGGGCTTGGTCCGCGGAGCTTGGTCGGCAGCCAGAAAATCCTGCCGCGGACTGTGGCGTGACACCGGCTTCAAATGCTTCCGCAGGCTCAGACATGCTCAGACTCAAGGTGTGTTTGTGCTGACGTGAATACATCCTGTTTGCCATAGCCGCCTTCCCGATTCGTGAAATTTCGAAGCCGTCAGCGCA